AACTCAGTTGCCTTAAAAGGGTGTCCCCTGGTAGTTTGAGCATGTGTGGCCTAAATAAGCTAAACCCCCCTCCCTTACCTTATTTAGGCCACCTGTGGCCTCCACCTGTGGCCTCCACCTGTGGCCTAAATAAGCTAAACCCCCCTCCCTTACCTTATTTAGGCCATATGTGGCCCAAATAAGCACTCCCATGCGCTTTACAATCTTTGTTTTTGGCACATGTTCATCTGCTTTATATTTATAGAATACTTGTCTGTGTCAGGACCATTCCCCAGCAAAGACTAGGACCCTACCCAGTTCAAATATTGAAAAACATATGTCTTTCCAGCGGAGGCCTGGATGGAGAAAACTAAATAAGCTCTCATACTCATATATGCAAATAGAAACAACAAAAAAAGAAAGAAAGTTGAGGGAGCAGCTGTCAATCAAAAGGGGTCACAAAAATTTGCTCCTCTTGCTTCAGATAATGACACAGAACATTTCATCTGAACTATCAGGCCCTGTTTTCTCTCTGCTCACTACGTGTACAAGTTCCAATGTTTCCATCACTTTTGCTGCTCTTTCCACAGCCTAAACAGGCCATTCTTCCAAAAATATATAGGCTCCCCCTTAAAAAAACTGGACACAGAACTTTTCATCTAAAGTACCAGGACCTGTTTTCCCTCTCTTCACTACAAGTACAAGTCTTTTTTTGGGTTGTTTTTTATACCCCTGTCTGTTTTTTTTTAAACCCCTGTCAAATCTGTGGGCCAAGAAAAACAAAATTTGGCACAGAGCATTTCATCTAAAGTACCTGACCCAGTACGTTTTCTCTCCGTTCACTACTAGTTTTTTTTTTTTTTTACCCTGTATGTTACAAGTTGATCATTACTAGATTGTTACACCAGATGTGTGCGTCAGTGCAAGTGTGTGTGCTAAATCTGTGCATGTGTGTGGGTTTTTTCCCTTGCTTGTGGGTGGTTGGCGGGTGCTCTGGAGTGGTTTGCTTCTTCTTTCCTATCAAACATATCTATCGTCCTTATCTCCCCTTCTTCTTTTTCATGTTTTTTACACTCTCGCTACACCTCTAATCTTCTGGCGCTCATATGACCTTATGTAGTTGCGAGCGCCGTAAAACCTCTACTAAAATTTAATAAAAACTTTTACGAAAAGGAAACTTTACTTTTTTTTTTTTGCTTTTTGTTTTCTTCTCCCCAGGTTCCAAAAGTCCTATGGTACTTACACGCCCCACAACAAAGACTGGTAAAAGCAAGAAATCTACCACATGCTTCGGAAACAAGCTGGGAAATAATTTGTTTGTCTTGTTTTTTTGTTTTGTTTTTAATTTGGGGTCGTCGTTTGTTCCTGTGTTCTAAAAACATCATTGAATGTTCACATGTTCTCATTTTCATTTTTGGTATTACTAAGTAATGTTAGCAAGTGGCCCACAGAATTCACTTTGATTGAGTTGCAATGAATGTTTTGGTTTATTTAGGGGTTGTTTTTTTTTGCGTGGGATAGTAGGACATTTTCAGCTTTTGTCAGTAGTTGGCTTTTGGTGATTTATTTTTTCCCCCATTACGGAGGCATGTTCATGAATGGCTCCTGTCTGAAGTCTCCACAAATCTGACAAGTCTTGATTGAAAAGTCTACACGCAGAAGAGAATCTGGCTCATACAGTATGATTGATTTCTGCGGTTGAAAATGTTTTGGTGTCATGTTGTGCCCACATTATGGAAGTTGTATCTGTATGTCAAGAAAGTGTATATGGGTCATCCATTATATTGTTTTCATCCTCTATGCTGAGTGGTTGACCAACTTCATGACAGGTGCTTAGACTGTAAGAAACATCATACATACTGTGCTGGGGGTTACTAATACGGTACTTTTGAGCTTTATTCATTTCGGTACAAGTGTCGTCTTAGCCTCTTAGGTTAATGTAATGTATTTTGGGAGACATTATGAATGCTCTTCTGTACTGTCTTTTTGTGTTCTTGTCAGGCAGTGCACACTGCAGAAATAGCTTAGGACAAATTAGGTCTTGTTACTGTTATTTGCTCTTAATGCTCCTTTCTTTCTGAGGTTCTTTTTTTTCTTTTTTTTTTAAATTTTAGTATTCTTTTACTCCCTAAGATGAAAAGACATTTTGTAAGTATTATCACCAATAAATTGACATGGCCAATACTATGTTATCTGTCTTTCTTTGTGGAATTTGTGTGTTACTCAGTGTACATTTTTCATTTTGATTCATTGGTCATGTGGGTGGTTGGCAGGTGCTCTGGTGTGGTTTGCTCCTTCTTTCCTATCAAACATCTACTGTCCCTCTCTGTCCTCCCTTCTTATCTTTGTGTATTTTTCTCCAGTCTTTGGCACTTACGTGAACTATTTGCGTTGCAAGTAGCCTACCATAAAAAATATTACTAAAACTAAAAGGCTGTACAACTTTGCGATTTATGACCACCATAATATGAATTAGACACATTACTTAATATGAAAGCACACTACACTTCATAGAAGCTAGCATAGTCATGAGAGGAAAGAAAAAGAAGCTTTCTCCAGTATTGTGTTTATTTTTAGTGCTGTCATACTTCTTCATCTACAAAGAATGGAAAAAAGTCAGTATACTGACTTCAAATAAAAGCTACATCAAAAATATATATACATGCAAGCAGTGAAAAAACACTTGGAATAATGTGATAAATCTCAGATGAAATGGATCAATTCATCAAAAAGTCAACATGATTTGTCTCAACGACTAGAGTATACAGACGTCTCTTGGATATACTATCAGTACAGAACAAAATGTTAAATGCTGCGTAGAAGAATACACTGTAGAGTTTTGTAGAAGCTGTACTGTTATAACATATTGTATGTCATTATTATCGTTATTATAATTATGTTCATCAAAGACAGAATACAGTATAACACGGATAGGTTGAAGACAGAAGACTCGGAATGAAATCACGCACCTGTTGAACTGTGCCTGCGGCCCCCTTTTTTTTCTTCTTTATCTTTGTAAGATATCCCTCGAACTACAGATCCTTCATACTACTGAAGCCGGTCCCAACGAATTCGAGTTATCCGTGTTATATTGTAGTTCCTTAACAAAGCTGATGTTATAGAGAAAGAGATCGATGGAGACTGTAAGAGACACGTAACCACAGCATGAGGTGACCACAGCAATGCAATATAACAATGTTGGCGTGAAAAAATTCATTCACTGGTGAAAATTTTGTAGCAACGGTATTTATCGCAGTTTTTTTGTAAGGTCAGATTTCAAGAGTGTGTTTAGAGGAGGAGCATGTATTCATGACTGGAGAGGTGTGTATTCATGTGGCAGGGTGAATGGAGGGATGAGTTGATATATAATTGGCAAGCTGTTCAAATGTACATGTACTAGATCTAAGCTTAGAGTAGAAAGCAACGTTTTTCAGGAAAGAGAAAAAAATTGTTTCATTCTTTTAACAATTATACCAACATTATATGTGAGGCATCGTGGTGAAATCAGGCACTCGTCAAAATAATGGTAAAACCAAGAAATCTGCAGTTTTTTACGCCGCTGGGCAATTTTTTTCTAATTTTCTTTTTTTGGCTCAACGCCTTTTATGTCCATGTTAAAACACTTTTCTGTGTGGATTTTACTGAAAAACACTGATTGAAGGCACAAAAATTGTAAATTTTCAGTTTTGAGGACTCTCAGGCTATGGAAGTTACCAAACTTTGGCGGTCATGTTCTTGCTAATTTTACCTCTGAAACTTGGCAACCCTGACGTCCTTCAGTGGCAAATATTTCGACTTCTATTCAACATAGATGGATATTTTTTTCACCAAAGGCAAGGCAGATGAACAGGCTTTAAGGTGGTACCAATAACTCCATATGCGTAAAAATTGACGAGCGCCTGATTCCAGCATGTCGTGACACATATATCTTTTCTAACTTTTTTTTTTTTACATTTAGAATTTGAATTTTGACAAAATAGTTTTGGAACACATGCAGCTAAGATCCCATATAATACTAATAGGAATAGGAAACTGCATTTTAAACAAATTTGGGGCTTGGTCTGATTGAACAGCGAGCCAATGATATGCTTCAGTGAGTTGTTGGTGCTACTGCCATTTGCTGTTGTTTTTGGGTTTAGATTAATGTCAAGTCAGCAAAAATGACGGTGATAATTCATTGCTCCATTGACGAGACTTCTCAAAAATTTTTTTCTGTTTTTCCAAATTCATGTAAACAGAAATAGCAATTCACATGTTTAAATAGGGCTTAATAGGGCTTAAAACATGTTGAAAACAATAGATTTTTTAAACCTAACTACCAAACATTGTGTGTACTGTTCTTGCGCTTGGAATACTGAAGACTGATCACAGATAAGAGGGGATAAGGCAACACCACGTTGTAATATACACTGAAACAGTGAGGTGAAAGCAACGAATTGTACATTAAATATTTAAAAGTAACAAACACAGAAAAGACCAATGATTAAAGATTTTGTGCTCACTCGCCTCCGTTCCATGAAGATGGCAGACACCACCTGAAGGATCATCATAAGTAGGCTTCCATAATGTAGCCTACTTTAATATAATTAATAGTGATTTGTAAATAGATGTTTTATGCCCTAACTGACACAATCTAGGTCTCTGTGGGGGCGGGATGTTTTGACTCTGCCTCTCAGGGCCAACCCCAGCAGAGTGAGATATACTGTCCCCATGGTTTTATGCACCCCGCATAATTTAGCAAAATTTGATCATTTTTGGCATAATTTCTGAATATTTTCCTTTATCATTCTTTGTTAAAATTAACAGAATCGCATAATTTCACATTTTTGGGCTCAGTTTGCATAATTTCAGGGTTTTTTTTGCATAAAACGACGGGGACAGGATATGGCATCGCTGAAGAGAGACAGAAATCCTGGACTAAAAAATTCCCAACAAGGGAAGAGAAGTAATGTCTTTCGCATGTACTGGCTAAGAGCCTTACCACCACACCGCATAAATGCCGGTGGGCTGTATCTTCAGAATGAAAAACCACACGAGCATCATCGAGAAATCATGAAAAAAACAGTACTAATACTATTCAAATATTGCTACATGATACTAAATAAAAACTCTTAGGGCACACATTTAATGCTAGACACACTTGTATCTAAATGCAGGAAGTTGACAAAGCTCTTGCGGAGATCAAAGCAGGATGGGATCCAGGTAGGCAGACACGAACTGTCCTTCGTCTATCTCTATGTACTGGACGGTGGCCGAGGCTGTGGTGATGAAACTTTCTCTGTCAAATGCTGTGTTGGTCTGTAAGATATGAGCTCTTCCTTCCTTCACCATCGCTATAAAACTTGTGGTGAAATCCATAACTGGGTAGACAATACTGTTGTAGATCTTGTACTCAATGTACACTTGGTCTCTCGCTGGGAAACGTTTGATAGCTTTGCTTCTCACTTCCGCGAACCGGCCCCTCATGTGAGTGAGGGGGACACAGAGAGTGTCAAGAGAGGCTTCCAGTTTGTGAGTCAAGAAAAGCATGCACAAGTCAGTGAGTCGATCGACGTCGATGTGTGGAGTCACCACAAACACCCGAGCGTCTTTGTCGGAGAACCAGACGTCGAAGGCGGAGCGCCATAGTCTGTAGAGTACGCTGCCCTGAATGACACGCCCATCGCGGAGACGCTCCAACTGGTCAAGGGTGTCCTCCGAGCTCAGCTGTCATTTGAGAAAAGGTCAAACAAGTTATGAATTAAACCTTGAGAAAACCGCAAACAAACATTGCCCAGCCACTAAGCCTTAAATTTAAATAGAATCTACAAGGAAAGAGAAAGAAAGGAAGGCCTAAAAGTAGTTGGAGGAGGGACTTAAATTCCAACTTAAAGGAGATGAGATACAGCTGGACAGAGGTGAAGACTATAGCCCAGGACAGGAGTACATGGAGAGCTCTTGTTGGTGGCCTACACTTGAGAACAGGGTGAGAAAGCCTGAAGATGATGATGATGAGGAAAACAAGGATTACCATAAGGATCTCATCTTAACTTAAAAACAAGTACAGTCCGTGCCGGCTTTAAGCACGCCGGCATAAAGCACGTTCCGGACTCAAGCACCCTTAACGGCTCTTATGGAATTTTTGCTCTATAAATTACACACCTCTGAGCACGGTAACTTCGGCTTACGGCACACTTCATTTACAAGACAGTCAATACTTTCATGATGACCCATCGAAGTTCAAACACAGTCTACACCGCAGCAGTGGAGTGTGCTAAGAGAAACACAAGTCAAAGAACGCAAGTGATGGAGACACACACTCACACGGGCGGAGAGGGAAGGCAGAGAGATGCACATAGCCACACGCGTGGAGATAGGATCTAGCCTAGGGCAAAGCTACACACACCAAAAAAAAAAAAAAAAGGGAGACGAGAAAGGGAGGCTGGCTGCGATCTCACCCTTGCTATCCATTAATCCTGATTGTGTATCACGCGCGAGGTGGGATGAAGACGGTGGTATGAAAGTGACAGAGCGGGCAGTGGTATGCACAGGCAGTGTGTAGGCCTAGTTAAGGGTGCTGTATCATGACTGTCTGTCTAAATTAAGTTTTCATTTCCGATTCGACCACAAAACAAAAACAAACAGGCAAACAAAAACTACCATGGCGGGTAAAAATAAGAGTGAACACGTTTGTGGGACCACTATAGGCCTACTTACAAACAAAGGGAAATAGCACAGGAAATTTTGCAACATGAAAATCTCTGGATTATGTCTACTTCGCACTCAAGCACGCTTCAGCTTTCTCCCGATGACCGTACTTAAATCCGGCATGGACTGTACAATAGCACTATTGCAGAGTGTGTTGCCCTCTGGGGGCTTATTGTAAAGCACATGGCATGACTTCAGGTTTTGAAAGGTCAGTGAAAACGCTCTATGCTCAAGGATTGATTTTAAAACTTTCCGTCTCAACACACTGGAAACAAGCCTTATTCCGAAAACGCATATCATATATATCTAGCAATACTTTGAGGGTCACGCACAATGGCATACAATTAATGCTACCTTTTTCTTTTAATCCCCCAAATAAACTGTTGACCAGACCCCTTGTGGACTAAAACACAAAGAGAAAGATGATGAATCATGGGGGAGACAAAAGAGCTTGAATTTAGTAAGAATCACTAAAGGCTCTTTTTACTAGGAGAGGAAATACCGCTGTCATGTATTCATTATTTAGTATCCTTCAATTGCATTATATTCTATGTACTGTACTCTGTTTGGTAACAGTACCCATGTAGCACATACTAGATTACCTATTCCTGTACCACCGTGTCAGTTTGTGTACACTGGAAAAAGGATTGGGTTGATCAGATGGTGTCCGACCTTACACGACAGAAAGTTGTGTCTACTCTATTGTCATACATGTAGATCTAGTTCCTGTCTTTCACAAAACCAAAACATTACAGCCGCAGTGCAAGTACACAAATAATTCCCTGCAGGTAGGGTCTCACCAGATCTGAAAGAGGACTGACAGTTTCAAGATCCTCTCCCTTCAAGAACTCTGAGGGGTTCACAGGCTCGTAGACAATCTCACTGTGCCCCTTGCCGGCTTCCATCACTTTTGCCGCTCTTTCTAAGGCCTCAACAGGCCATTCTTCCAAACCTGTGGGCCAAGAAAAAACAACAAAATATTGAAACACTTTTCCCTTAAAGAGGAAAAAATGCAGAACCCAAAGACAGATCAAAGATCAAGTTTTGTGCTATCCCCTTCTCTCAATCTTCATAGTGAAAGATAGTCGCTGTTGGGTCAGACAATACATAAACAAGGAAAAATTCCCTTTGTCTCCAGATGGTCAGAGCTTATTCTAGTTTCCGTAGTATGAAGAGGTACAGTTCACAATAACAGATAGCAGTTGTATAATGCAAATTCCTGCTCAACAGCATAAGTTCTATATGCGCTTTGGGTGACCTTATTTGGGCCACAGTGTGGCCTAAATAAGCTAAACCCCCCTCCCTTACCTTATTTAGGCCACACTGTGGCCCAAATAAG